AAAAGCCCCCAAAAAATAATACTTTAATATTGTATCAGAGATTAGTTTTTCTGATAATATTGGGAAACTTTTAATATAATTCTGTCAGTATTACGCATTATTAAAATGTCGAACATACATACTTAATAGGCTTCTCTTTTGACCAATACAGCCGGATATTTTTTAAGTTTTAACACCCTTAAAATCAAGAAGGCCTCACGACCCTCCATAAAGCATTGTAAACCCCTAGTGGGGGGTTCCAACCCCTAGGCTGGAAACCACTGAAACACAGTACCACTGCTAGTTCTTTTTGATCAGTGAATGTACCATACTCAGGTTGTTTATAGCAACTGTCAGTTCATAAAAAGATTGCACTGTGTGTGATCACATATTCCACAGGATGAAGATCAAACAAGAAACAGTCATCCCTACCTGCTGAATCTCTTGAGATCATGTTTCCATTAGTCAGCCTCTTCTGAGTGCTCACCTGAGATCATCTGAAAAAAGATAAGGGATGGGGAAATGGAATGATTCAAAGAAGAGTTCATTCAAGAGGACATACAAAAGTCGGCAAAAAACTGTGGATTCAGATGTCTTTTAGTCCAGCTCTGCCCAAACTTGCATTAACCAAGTACTCCAACAAATATTTATTTTATCACAGTACAATGAGAGAGCAATCAGTTCCTTTCTGTTTTCATAGGTATTATGAGGTTATAGTGTAGTGGTTTCCAACCTTCCCTTCTTAGTGACAGGGTAAGAAAACAGAAAAAAAAATATTTTGAAGTACTAGTTCATTTTATCTCTTTATGCCTATAAACATTTGTCAATAATACATAGAAACAGACAATGGAACACATATACAGTGTTTCAGTTTCAGTTTAATGGCACATATGTCAAGAAGGCTGGGAGCTACTGGTATGAAGGGCCAGCTGCTGGGTGATAAAAAAATGTCTGTCGCTCCACCATCATAATCAGGCTTAGGCTATCTATCACTCAACTCGACTACCTTCTTGTTGGATTATTTTTAAGGCTCTTTAGGCTGGTTTTATAATGACCACATGACTCAGACCTTCTCCAGTATCTTCACAGAACATTTAAAAAGTCAAACCTGGAGTTGCGACATAGATCACTCCACTCTGTTTTATGTTATTCTAAGGTTTCAGTGGAGCTTTGCAGTAGCTGGCAGGTCAGGGAAATGGAGGCAATCAAAGTGGCTTTTCCATTGTACCATTTAAGATTACGTGCTGTGCTGGTTATATTTTATAAGGTTAACAGGTTCAGGGAGATATTAGAAGGGAAGAAACTTTTTTTTGATCACACGTTTCTTGATACAGTCATGTTTAAGACTGAAGCTGTGCTCTCTGGACCAACGACAGCTCCAGTCCCCTCTTCATCCTTTCACGGACAAAGGTGCTTTCTGCTTCTGAGTTTCACTGTCCCAGACCTGTTACCTTGGCAACAAATGCACTGTTTCCGAGTGACACAAAGCCTGAACCTAAGAACCTCCTTTCAGGTTGAAGGCTCCAAGAGTTGAGGGGAAAACAGCAATAACAGGACGGCGGGGAGAGAAACTGAATACCGGCAAATTGCTTCCCAGAGTTTCTGGAGGACATGGTAAAATGATTCTTTCTTTCCTCTCCCTTTTAAAATACCTTTCCCTGGCACCAGGCACCATAGGTAGTTGTGTGCTGGTCCCATTTCTTTTATATCCCTTCTTATATTTCCCTTTTTTCTAGCTATCGTACAGAGCTAAGTGAGTTATCATGTACACCAGCAGGCTGGAGCAGCATGTGGCTAGGCTAAGCCTCCAGATGAGGTAATGTTTAGAGGGTTGGCGAGCCAGGAGAAGGGTTGGTCAGGTCTTGATTAGCTCAGTGGTAGGGGCTCTCTCTTATATTGGACACCCCTTTGTGTGGTGAGATTACTACCTTATGAAAAACTGCCCCTGCTGACATGCCTGATGGGATCAGAGCTTCCTGCCCGCTGCATCGTCCTGCTTATGAGCTCTCCACACACACAGGAAAGAAAACACACAACCAAACACCAAGCACTCGTACTTGAACCTCTCGGAAAAGACAGGAATGACTACAACTCACAAGTTCTATGCATGCTTATGTGTAAACAAGCATGTACACACCAAGAAGCACACACATGGTTGCAAACGTAACCTGCTAGGGCCCCTCTCGCTTCCACTCATGTATGGGATGACCACAACTGATGACCCCCAGATGGGAAACAACCTGCATTTATTAACGAGGCCAGATGACACACAAACACACACTCATGCATGCTCACTTGCTTTTACTGTGGTCTTCTCCTCCGGCCACTATCCAATGAAAATCACATGATGGACCACATCCAGCTCTAAAAAAACAACCGAAAATCTCCACCCCGAAAAAACATCAACAAACAAAGTTAAAAAAACAGAGAGGATTCAGAGGCAAAGCTTTCAGGGGACTTGATCCCAGCAGTCCTTTAAAGAGGGCTGAGGCTATAGGATGATTTCAATTATTCGATATAATTTCTGATGGTCCATTAGTTCAAAATAAAGCTCTGATTATAAGAGACGTGTAAACAGAAAGTTGCAAACAAAACCTGCATCAGAGTCTGAAGCTGAGTTGTACTTTTTTCCAGATGTCTAATCGACTGTTAATTAGCAGTGGCCTTACTTTTATGTAACCTTTCCCAAATAACTCTTTTTAAAACCAAGAACAATGGAATAAATGCAGCATTCTGTTGTGTTCAACCGCATAGCAAACTTCAACACCTTTCTGTTTCTACTGGTTAGGAGCATACACTAACAAACGCTCATATTTCTGCAGTGCACTTTGTGAAAACAAATAAATACTTGTAGGTGTGTAGCATGCAAGCACACATGTATCCATCCACACACACACGCACGCAAACCAGTCAGGGACACTGGCACAACCTTGCGCCAGTGGTCCTTTAAACCAGTCATGTGAAACGACCCGTTGCTTTCTGCAAATCAGATTACATTTCCGAGCTGAGGCCTGCAGGTCCACACACACATTTAAAGCTCGGGGCTCAGATCTACGTAACACACACACACAAACAAACA